GTCAAGTGGAGTCATCCCACCCTTCTTCTACGCGAATTTCTCGCGAAGCCTTGGGCGTTGTCGTGACTCCTTACCTACTTTACAACGCTCCCTACCCTGACATCAGTCCGTCTATCTATAAGTCCGTCATTATGCAGTCATTGTCAACGTTAGTACACGCCCACTTCCGCTCTGCTGCACAAGCGCAACACCCACACCAAAAATTTCGTGCTTAGCAGTTCATCGCTACAATCCACCACTTAAACAAAATCAACCTCAAACCATTTAATCCCTTTTTTTCCTCACGTTATTATTACATAAGAAATTTAACCCTAATTACAATAAAAATCCAACACTTAAATAACTCAAAACATCAAATTCAAAGATCCAATATTTAATTCTAAAACTCAAATTAAAAATCTTATATTTAGCTCTAAAACTCAACCTCTAAAATTCAATATTTAACTTTACCTACGCGGTGATATTTATCTTAATGTCTATTAACTCCTAACACCAAACTCAAATTTTGATCCACGTACCCTATTGCCAACTTATCTGGTTCTTCCCCTAAACAGAATCCAACATATTAATTCATCACCGAAATTCAATTATCATGGCTAAATTTAAAATTTACAACAAAACTCGCGCTGATAAATCAATGGATAGGTACGTCTTTATGTAATAGCGTACTTATTTGCACCTAATGTGCATGTACGTATGTAAATATATATATATTAGGGATGTCAGTGGTAAAAATACATCGATGTTTTTCTTTGATTCGATGCATCGAAATGTACATCGATATTTTTCGATGCATCGAAGGGCATACATCGATGCATCGATTTGCATAGGATTTTTCAGATAATGTTTCATAACAAAATATGTTATTAGCAAAGTTGTAGAAAATTTTAAATAAATTACTGCAACTGAGCTAATTATGTTTCTAACGGGAATTCTTGCAACCATTTAAATTTTTTGGCCAAATTCACTTCTTTTTTTTTAACAATTGAAAAACTGGAATGATGTACCGTAGATGTCAGTTTTCAAAAAACATCGATACATCGATGCATCGATACATCGACTATTTATACATTGAGTGGAAAATTTTCCATGCATCGAAGCAAAACATCGATATTTTCGATGTATCGATGTTTTTCCGACATCCCTAATATATACATATTTATATATGTATGTATATAATGAATATAGGTAAAGTTCGCACTCAGCTTGATCTCCAGGAATGATGGCGCCAGCACTCTGTTGAGAACCTGTTTGGAGAATTAGAAACCTAACATACAATTATCCTAAGATTTACATACATATATGTGTTCGCCTTCAGCCGCGATGCTGAGGCTTCGACCTGTTACTCCCGTAGAAGCGTTAACACTCGTTTCGGGGCAACGAGCGGGTCAGAACGCAAACGTGGAAATAATAAAAACCTGATAAGAATAGCCCAAAAATTAAGCAACGAAATTTAAGTTAGAGCAGAAATGAAATGAATTATGATATTAAACCAAATGAAATATGGGCCAAACACGCGAATATTAATAAAAAACTTTAGACAACTACGTCAAAATCCAAGTGTAACTATGTAGCAAAATACAGAGTGCCTAAATTGGAAAAAAAACTAATAAATATGTGTAGGTGGCGAAACGAAAAAGTGCTGAATTCAAAACAAAATTATATAAATATCTGCCTATATATATGTATATCCATAAATAATAAGGTGGATAAAATCAAATGAAAAAAGTTGTGTGATTATACCTAACGAAATGAGTAATTGTAAAAAAATCAAAAGTTACCAAACACACTTCAGAAATTATTCTACGCTAAATACAAAGAAATAATGCAATTACTCAAAATTTTAGGTATGTGTAAATGAAATAAAGATAATAACTAAACGGTAAGTAAAACCCAAGACAATTCGCCCAACGCAAGAGAAAAACAATTCTCCTAATCTATATGTATGTATGCCCCTCTTACATGTGTACAGATGTACAAAAACTACCATAAGATAACCCTAAAACAAAGCTGGAATTTTGCTCCGGGCGCTGCTGCTGATCGGTGGTGTATGCTTTGGTCTGTCTCCTCTGTTCTCCCTAGCTCCGCTCTGTAGACAATAGTGTCGCTGATTGTATGCTCCTCTCTATTTTTCTGCTCATCCGCTGTAATGCTCTTCTTCACTGTTCAACGGAATCCACACATATGTTCTGTGGCCGTTGACCTGTAGAGGCCGGATTAGCTGAAACAGCTGTCCCTGACGACGTTGTTATTATTTGCGGTATCCCTTAGCCATGTTAGAAGCGCTTAAATATAGGCCTCTAGAGTCTAGACCTGCTTTGGCTCTTTCAAGTGCACTTATGTATTTATACCGAAGTATGTATGTATGTCGGTGTACACGCTGATTTCCGGCTGCTAGTGTTGTTTACATACGTCTCGCTATTTGTTGTTGCGCTTGGATGCGTGCTGTAGGGGGTTATATGGCGCAGGTGGATGTAGCCATTTACTTGTAGACATACATATGGGAGTCAGCTTTTTATGTATCTCATAAATTGTCGCCCGTGCTTGGCAGGATTTAGGCTCCCGTCGCCGCCATAAAAAGAAAGGAGGCTCTTTGGCTGTCTCAGCAGGCGACCTGCAATCAATAAAACGAAATTTCAATGGGCATTCATAGATCTATATACGTCAATTCGAACGTATTTGTTCCTATGGTTGATTTTTACATAATTTTTGCACAAAATTAGCCACAAATCGCACCCCGTCTTCAAAAGAGATACAACTCAAAATTACCCGTTCGTCCGAAAATGCGACAAACTTTTTCTTAGCACATGCTGATCATATGGGAAAGGAAGACCTTTCCTTAGGTTTTTTTTTCAACAAATCATACCAAAGATTTACTCCAGCTTTTGTTGAAAGGTACATAAAAGCTCTGTGTACATTTTTAGTGCATAATTTCAAAAATGCCAAATTATGAGTTGTGTCACCTTTGACGACCTTGTCCGATGTGTACCTAGGTGTATACAGGTACATGTAAGTATGTATGTATACTCAAGGTGTCAAATATGCAATGTAGGACTTACCTCAAGATCCAGGTTGCGATTTTGGTGGCTAGGCTTCTTATAGAGCCCTTGGTTATCGTATTCACTAAGACTATGAAAATCAAAACAGTTAACTAAGCTCGTATAACTTTTGATATTCGCGCTTTAACCTTCTATTGAACTTTAGGTTTCACTGATAAATTCAACACCGCAACTTATTTGAAACCATTTTCCTAATTTGGGTCCTTTTGTATCTTTCTTCCTTGCCAAATGACCGATTCCGTAATAATACGCATATATTTCTTTATTTATGTACAATGAATAAATAAGAGCACGATTTAAACCGAACATTCACACATACACACACACCTCAAGACTGTTTCACCGAACCCCGAGTCTAGCGAACTTTCGCACTCTAACGTACTTTCTTTTGGGCATCATCCATGTGGTTAACATAGAGGTTTGATCGGCTTACAGACATGTAGGTTTGATCGAGTTCGCACGTACACACACAAGTAAACATAAACGTATCTGGCAAGCAGCTGGCGCTACAGGCTCGGACCCGCCGATGGTGCCTGCACCATGGAGCGTGTGCGTAAAAAGGTCACTAACGCGGCTGGTTTCAAAGCCATTTTTCCGCCTAACGTGTTGCCTCGACCCACGACTTAAAGCCAGGCTTCTTTCCTATTGCTCGTCGGTTGAGTTTGCTCGTACGGGTCACTGGGTGTGTACACATACATACGTACACGTATAGCTAAAGACAGTATCTCCTGAAGCTAAATTTTTTTCATTTTTTGTTTTCTAATTATTTTCAATTTCTGTATAAACAAGTTTAGATATAAATTTCAAATCTTTATTGTTTTTATATTGACACAAGGTGCTGGCTCATAGCTTGGCTCATATTTGAATCCTAAAAGATTCATATAAGAGTAAACAATTTTTTTTTTTGAAACTCATATTTCTTACCTACCTAGGACACCTTTCGGACTCATATGTATATTCTGAACGCTCAGAATATGTTTGCGGGGTCAGGTCTACTACTACATCAATATCACAGATGGAAATAAAATGAAATAGATTAACATAACCCAGTAGGCTAAAGTATAATGTAAATAGTTGAATATAAAAAATATAAAAAATAAATAAATAAACACGATATCACAGCATTTATATAGTCAAGTAGTAAAATTAAAATAAAAAAATTAATAAATTTGAAAATAATTACAATAATAAATAAATAAGCAAAATATCACAGAATTTATATAGTCATGTAGTAACATAAAAATAAAAAAATAAATGAATTTAAAAATAATTACAATAATAACTAATGAAAATAAACAAATAAACAAAATATCACAGAATTTATATGAGTAGTCCACTTGCAAAGTGCGCTATGTAAAATTTGTTCGATTTTCAGTTTTTGGTGGATTACGTACCTGTATTTAAAGTAGTTTCATGTCCACTAACAACACCGTGCAAAATATTTTTATATTCTGAAAAAATAGCATCAAATGTTAACTCTTCTTCTAAAAGTCGCTATCATACTTATTTATAAACTTTCAAAAGTATCCATCTTATGATGAACTTAGAAAACTGCTTTAGGTCGTATAGACTGTTAATGTTATCTTATGTCATGTTATCTTATAATTTTATAAGTCTCTTATTTATCCAAATTTTTAGGTAATAATAAAACAGATTCAATTTAATTGTTACTTGTTGTCGTAGTCATTTTTTCAAATTTATGGCTTTCTATTATAAAATCACATAACGCTGTTTGCAAGTGGACTACTCATATAGTCAAGTAGAAAAATAAATAAATAAATTAAGAAGAATAAATAAATAAATTTAAAAATAATTACCAAAATAAATAATAAGAATAAATAAATAAGGTCAAGTATGAGGTAAGTAGTCAAAAGACATGCAACACTTAGCACAAGGACAACATTTAACAAATAGCTACACAGCAAAAATGTCCTTAGCATGTTATACCCCGACCTTCTTTCCACTGATATCTCCGAGTTCATACATCGAGTTTCCTATTTCCTTTAAAATAATGCATTTGACCTGTTTTGGGCCTAATTTGGCATTATAGTTTTCGATTTGTGCACTCTGTTTAAAATTGCGGCGGTATACCACTTGTCCAGATTGGAATCTCACTTCCTTACTTCGCGTGTTATAAACCTTTTCATTGCGTTCGTGGGCTAGCTTCAGCTCATTAATAATTTTTTCCCTAATCAATTGAATGTTGTCTTTTCCCGTGGTGATTTCGCTATCGGAGTCCCTAAGTGCGCCCAGCTTTCGATATAATTCATACGATGCAGCATGCTGTATCATTGGTATACCAANCTTTAAAAATAATTACCAAAATAAATAATAAGAATAAATAAATAAGGTCAAGTATGAGTAAGTAGTCAAAAGACATGCAACACTTAGCACAAGGACAACATTTAACAAATAGCTACACAGCAAAAATGTCCTTAGCATGTTATACCCCGACCTTCTTTCCACTGATATCTCCGAGTTCATACATCGAGTTTCCTATTTCCTTTAAAATAATGCATTTGACCTGTTTTGGGCCTAATTTGGCATTATAGTTTTCGATTTGTGCACTCTGTTTAAAATTGCGGCGGTATACCACTTGTCCAGATTGGAATCTCACTTCCTTACTTCGCGTGTTATAAACCTTTTCATTGCGTTCGTGGGCTAGCTTCAGCTCATTAATAATTTTTTCCCTAATCAATTGAATGTTGTCTTTTCCCGTGGTGATTTCGCTATCGGAGTCCCTAAGTGCGCCCAGCTTTCGATATAATTCATACGATGCAGCATGCTGTATCATTGGTATACCAAATAGGGCGGAATATGGTGAAGTACCTATTGCTGAATGAACCACACTACGAAGGGCGAAACCTGCGTCACTAACGTGGTTGTCCCAATTTTTCTGATTGGGCTTTACATACGATCTGATGATCTGAAGGACAGACCGATTTACCCTTTCGGCAGCATTCGCCTGTGGCGAATAAAACGCAGTTTTTACATGTTTTGTGCCATATCTTTCAGCAAAGGTTTTGAAGGTTTCTGATACGAATTGCTTTCCGTTGTCGGAATGAATATATTCGGGTACCCCGAACACATGGAAAACTTCCTTTTCAAGGAATTTAACAACTTCTGCTAAAGTAGCCTTCCTCATCGGTTTGAGGAACACGAACTTGGAGAAGTGGTCGAGACATACAACCACATACACATTACCATTGGACGTATTAGGATAAGGACCCATAAAATCAATGAACAAACGCTGAAAAGGCCGCCCATGTGTTGCCTGCCCATCGGAGGCTTATGAAAAGTGTTCTGAGTTTTGTTGCCCTTACAAATATCACAGCTTGCAATATATTTTTGAACTTCAGCAACCCTACCGGGCCAATAATATTTTTCCCTCATTCTGGCTAACGTTTTATGAATTCCGCCATGCCCTGCGGAAGGCGAGTCATGTGAGGATTCAACCAGACCGTGCCGCAGCTCAGTTGGCACCCAGAGTTTCCAGGAGTGGTCCTCTTGAAGCCTGTCCCCCCGACTGAACTGTGTCCTTTTATAAACGAATCCCTCCGATATACAAAACTCAGGCAATTTACCGCTGTTGTCAGTTATAGTTTTCTTTAATTCCTCATATTCTTTCGTTTTGAAAAATGGCGAATTTAAACAAATATCCATTACTCTGTCGTTTATCATCATTCCATCCATGCCTACTCTAGACAGCGCATCGGGAACTATGTTTTGAGTCCCTTTGTGATGTTGAATATCAAAATTAAACGCCTGCAGTTTAAGGCTCCATCTCGCTAGTCGCCCTAAGAGCTCCTTTTGATGCATTAGCCATTTTAAGCTTGCCTGATCAGTGATCACTTTGAAGGGCAAGCCCTCCACATAAGGCCTGAATCGTTTTATGCTCAAACCTGCTGCGTAGAATTCTAATTCCGTAATGCTGTAATTGCGCTGGGGTTTGGTTAGCTTTGCAGAGATATACGCAATCGGTCGTTCGTTACCGTCCTCGTCTAGTTGGAAAGGCACACCCCCCACTCCGTCAGTCGATGCGTCGTACTGTATGTAAAAGCTTCAAGCGCTCAAAAGAAGTCTTTGCGTCGTCTGTCACTGCAAACTTCTTAATCTTTTCCTTCGTGAGACAGCTGCGATTGTGGCATAATCTCGTATGAACCTGCGGTACCACCCTGACATCCCTAGGAGCCTTCTGAGCTGTTTTGGGGTCTTCGGCTCTGGGAAATCCCTCACTGCTTCAATCTTTTTGGTATCTGTGCATATCAGGGAACTGCAATTATTCGTGTTTTTAAGTAATTGGTTGAATAACACAAGAAATAGTGTTAATGGATATTATTCATTGCAGAATATTCACACATATGCACTAACACTATTTTACGCTCGGCACACAAAGCGAGAGCATGTACAATGACTAAGTTCTCTGTTGATATGAATTGGTGTAGTGCTCGATTCTCTCATTGAGCCATTAAACAAATTAGTTATACCGAAATGAGTAGGAGCACTAAGAAGCGCCAATCAGTGATGCCAGATTGTGGGTAATTTCCCTATTTGAGGGATATTTTGCATGAAAAGTTATTAAAAGGGAAAAAAGGGACATTTCATATAAATAAGGGTTTTCTTTTGACGCAGTTATTGTTGCATAATTGATCAAAATTCAAGAATATTCGACATTCTTACGTAATTAATCGTTCTTAAGATGTGATGAGGAGTGAAATGGTATATAATTGTTAAAAAGTATAAGGACAATTTCGAAAATTTTCTTACGTTAACCAATTCAAGCGCTGAGTAAGAAAGAATCTTTTCATTTGTAACTGGTGTTTCATGTAAAAAGCGGAACAAATTATCTGATGAAATGTTAAATAGCACATGAATGTGCTTCAGTTTTTAAGTCACCAAAAAATTCTTTTAGGCCCTTAGTGAGTGAGCAAAAAAATGAAAGTGAAAAAATGAATGAGTGAAAAAAATGCAGAAAAAGGGGTTTTTTCTTAACAGCGGTCGGCCCTCGGCAGGCAATGGCAAACCTCCGAGTGTATTCCTACTATGAAAAACTGCTTCTCATAAAAATACACTTCCCATTCGGAGTCGGCGTAAAACTGTAGGTCCCTCCCCTTTGTGTGGCAATATGAAGGCGCACGCCACAAATCGGAGGAGAAGCTCGGCCAAACACTAACATATGTGTAAGCGCCAGTTTATTATTATTATTAAAGGAGACATCTTTGAATTCAGTACTAAAGTTTGACATTTTATTTTTAGTATTTCAAGTGCTTATCAAAACTTTACGACACTAACATATTGACAAGATTGGCCATTTATCTTAAAATTATTTAATTTTAATTATTTGTTTATAAAAATGCAGTTTATACTTTAATAAAACCCCAAGGTTCAATTTTTGCGCAACATTAAAAAAATCAAACTTTCGTAAAAATTTCGGGCTTTTAACTCGATTTCCTAGAAATACATATTTTGAGAATGCCATTTGTAGTCCGATCAATTTAAATGAAGTGCAAGTTTAAAATAGCTGCGACTTATCGTTGATTTTTATTATATATGTATATATATTTTTTTTTGATGAAGGTGTTGCTTATTTTCTTCGTTAAAAAAAATCCCGTTAAGATAATATGACATTGAAGGCGAATTCCAGCTGCTTTAAACATGCACTTTATTATAGTAAAATTAAAAAAGAAAGCTCGAAATTTTTACGAAAGTTTGTCAATTTTTTTAATGTTCAAAGATTTAAACTTATTTTCATGCAGTTTTTGTTAAGGAGTTAACTATATTTTTTATAAACAAATAATTAGAATTAAAAAATAATAAAATAAATAGTCAACTCTAGTTAGGGTGGCCAGATGCGCTGATTTAATCAATACATGTGCTGATTTGTTTCTATTGTACTGATTTTTAAGAGCCCGAAATCAGTACGCAAAATCTACTGATTTTTTGATTTTGTACTGATTTTTACATTTAATAAATACTTTTGTAAATTGGTGTAATTGACATTTGCTTGAGGTTTACATGTTCAAAACAATGGTTTTTGACAACTCATACGTGTGAGCAGATTGAAACCATTATTAAAAAGGTGTCAGCTTGCAATTGTTTCGTTTCCTAGTATTTCACAAAATAACAAACTGTTTGGATTCAACCCCACCCAACTTCACGATTTGCAGGTTTTACACGATTTACAGGAAAAGCTGGTTTCGCCATTAATAAATCTAATGAAAGGTGGTGGTGAGTTAATCATATATTAAGTACACTTAGAAGATGATAATAAGAGATAATGTTTTGATTATAATTAAACATCCACTGAGAAATCGGCTGTCAGTATGTCAAACTTAAGACGACTACTGCTACGGTGCAATGTAGGTTCTAAAAATTTGGAAAAGGTGCAAACTACCGACTCTTGGATATGATATATGTAGCTTTGAATGTGAATGTTGTATTTTATAAGCACACCAACTAATTATGTTTTAAATTTGTAGCTTAAAATATGTAAACAGACTCTGACTCGAGCTCGTCTTCTACTGAAACTCAATGGGCTACACATTTTTTTTTAATTTTCTCAATTTTTATAAACTTTCTAGAAAGTTTGAGACTTCAACTCACTTGTCTTTTGTTATAGAATTAACTATATTTAAAAAAAAAAATTGTCAATACATTTTACTACTATTTTCGTGAGCACAGCTGTACATACATACGTAATACCTTTGATTTGTTTTAAAGTAATGAGTTTTTATATTGATAATACTATATGTATTTAAAAGTCTATTCGTTATTTTTTGTTAAATTAATGGGCTGTTATTTGGTTGCTATATTGTTAATAATAAAAAGTACGCTTAAAAATGAGCTGATTTTTAAGGCTTTGTACTGATTTTTGATCCCAACTGTACTGATTATGTCACTATAATATCTGGCCACCTTAACTCTAGTCAATATATGAGTGTCGTGAAGTTATAATATTTAAGAACATAAAGAATTAACGATGACACTGTTTCTAACTATATGAAGCTGATTTCGACATTTTGTTTTAATAAGATTTAGTATCGAAAATATTCTTTCAAAACTTGCCTAGGAATGTGAGGTTGATAGCACACCTTTTGCTATGTTATAATGGTTATTTCAAAACCTTTTTTCAAAACTTACAAAGGCAAAAACGAGAAGGCGAAGACAAAAAGATAAATCGAATTCCTGCAGTGAATTTTCAGAGCTACGTATATATTTATAGTATTCATCAGAAAATTGTACTAAAGAGTACTGCGTAGTAAACGAAATTGTATCAAAAAAGTACAATTGTACCAAAAATGCCAACACTGATGTAGAACAAAGCAGAACACAAATAATATTAAACTCATTGAAATTATTTTCAGCCTCTCACTCGACCAAATGAGTAAAACCCAGCTGGGTAGACTATACTCGATAGAGACAAAAATTGCCGCCACAAATAAGAGTTAGTACATTTTGAGTGTGTTTTTGTTTTGGTGGAAATTACTCTTAGTCATTTTTTGAATTAGTGTAAGTGCTCATTTGCACTAATTTTTATGGATCATGAATAAGTACACTAATTTTATTAGTACTCAATGCCGGTCTCTGGTGCGTATGCATCTATCGCCTACCACATAGCCTAGGTACATAACTTCTTTAAAACAAAATTTACTCTTTTCCACATTTATAGTTAGTTTGGCCTCACGCAGACATTTAGCGACCCTTTCGAGCAAACGCAAATGTGACGAAAAATCAACAGAACAAACAAGTAAGTCGTCTAAGTAAACAAACACAGAGTCACGAAGAGAAGCGGGGATGACCTTGTCCATTAGCCTGCACATTCGTTGTGCTGGTACAAAGGTCTACCTGGTACAGTGAACGCCGTCTTTTCTCTGGACTTATTTTCAAGCGAATTTGCCAGAAGGCGTCTTTGAGGTCTATCGCCGATATAAATCGCGTATTTTGTAGTCTGCTCAAGATCCCGTCAATGTGTGGTAGAGGGTACGCGTCCTTCACTGTACGTTCGTTCACTTTTCTTGCGTCAAGACATAAGCGGTTTTTCGTCCCTTTGATGACCAACGATACAGGTGAGCTCCAGCTACTGTTGCTCTCCTCGATTACTCCCATCTCCAACATTCGGTCTAGTTCGCTGTAAACAAGCTTTTG